TTCTTCAAAATAGTGTACAAATTGTTTTACAGAATTCTACAAGATTTTTTTTTTTTTTTAATTATTCTAAAACTAAAAATTTAAAGTATCTTTAAAAAGCATAGATAAATTTTTTAGTATATTCTGTAAATTTGATATTATTTAATATAAAATAGTGTATATGTAAAAAAAAAAAAAAAAAAAAAAAAACCTTTTTGGAATTATTGGAATATTAAAATTTTAAGATTTAATATTTTATGCAGTCGTTTTTTATTATTCAAAAAAATTATGTGTGTATGTATATATCTATATATATATATATATATTCCATCTCTAGTAGTTTAAATTACAATCAAACAATACCAGAAAATAAGGGTATGATTATGATTAGTACAATATCTATCAAAAGTAGTACCATACCATATGTGTAATTTAATTTAATTTAATCACTGTTCATCATTATTTAAAAATAGATAACACATAATTTTTGTAAATAGAAAAAGATAAATCAAGCATATTTTAAACGGATAAACAAGTGAAACTATACGTTATTCATAAAAACATGTTAAATTTTATACAAACATCAATATTTCTTAGGTAAAAATTTATTGTGTTGGTAACAACATTATGATCAGGCTTCAATAATTTGAGCTTCTACACCAGAAAATTACAAATTCTTTTATAATATCTCAATCTTTTCGTCTTTCACAAAAAATCAAACCCATTTTATTTTATTTTATTTTATTTATTTTTACCTCGCAATATCGATATCTACATTTATGTTTTCATGAGTTTTGATAAATCCGTTAAATTATATTTCCTTTTTGCAGAAAATAGATCTTTGCAAAATGGAGTATAGTGAAAACAGACCCAATATCCGCATCAATAACGTGGGGAAAAAGTTAAAGCAAAGACCAAAAAGTCCCTAGAGTTGAAAAAAGTTACGATTTGAATTCAAGCCATGTGACAGTGATAGGATGGTCGCTGAAGAGCGCGCGGAAATGGCACGCACGGAAGGTTGTTGCTGATAGCATAAGACTAGTTGTTTGTGAGAGATAAGACTCGACGAAGAGCAGTTTTCTGAAGGTTGTTGCTTTACGGAAGTTGTGTGTGCAGACGATGCGCGGCGACGACCTCGTGCTATTTGTGGATGTATGAAATGAGGCATTTCCCCGGAAATCTAAGAGGGACAATTGCGATGCGCCAATGCATTGCGGAATTCGTGTGTTAACAATACTCGTAGAGAGATTCAGTGACAGTCCTGAATATACAGCGCAGTTGCCGTTATGTGCGTCGGTCCGTTCTTGTCAGGGTGTTGTTGGTTTGCTGCCCCTGGAGACGACGACAGTGGCTGTGAATTGATAGCCTTGAAGGAGAAAGCTAAGGTACTAGTAGCAGTGAAATCAGTTCCCGTCCTAGTGTTTGGCACCTTTCCTGAGGATGGCGAGAAGGAGAGTGTTAGCCTTGGGGCTAGCCATGTCGCGCATGATGTGCATACAAAACCCGTACCAAAAGATGAAGAACGACGAAGCACAGCCGTCAAAGAGGACATGGATGTGGAGTCGGATGAAATCGCTGAAGCCGGGCGGTTGTGAAAAGACACCGAGACTGAGAATGGGACTGCGAGTTGCCCGGCTTCGCATCCGAATGCTCTCGCCCCTGACTGTCTTGAAGAGATTGTGCGACTCCTACGTCCGAATGATGCTATCCCTAGAGAATGAAGTTGGATTCGCTGGGATTCACTGCTTTTCTGGCACGGCTTTTCCAATGTATTTAATGCAACCGCCTCGCAGGATGGGAATGGCGTGTGACCTCACTCAGAATGTGCGATGGTGCTGACATCGGGTGAGTCCGAAAGCGTCTGCAAGTCATCTTCACAGTTTGGAAGTAGTCTTTGAAGTGCTTTGTTCGGGTTTGGATAAAATCTGGATTGACTTCTAGGAGTCGCACTGTCTCCTACGAAGTCTGACAGAAGATTCGCTTTTGTTTACAGAAAATTACACTACGATCCTCCTTGGTAGGTATGATGGTGTTCAGAGTTCGAAGAATGTTCGGATCTGCAAGTTGATAGGGACGAATTCTTTCGGCGGTTCGGGGTTGTGTGTCTCAGTTCTTTAGTAATTATTGCAGCGTTTGGCTGGTGGTTTTCTTTCGAGAGTCTATCACTGCAAAGTAAGAATTTGTACTTCGTTGCTGTTTCTAAATATTGCTCATGCATAGCATCGTATCGGCAGCTTTAACAAAGTTAAGAACTCAGCCGTTTTTCATGAATAATCAAGGCCCTCAGAGCTTTGAAATCTTTGTAACGCCTGATGGTACCTTGGCTGAGACTTCTGTCGAAAATAAAATCATAATTGAAGAACGTTGTTCCCTGGTACTTTTCTTGACTTGTGTTAAAGCGGTGTGACATCGCATTCTGAGGGTATCGTACTGCTAATCTTTCTTCAAAAATCCGCAGAATGACTACTATAAGAATAATGCAGAAAATAACACTTCGAGGATTGCAGTTCCGATTGTATTGTAATATTGGAACTACATTCTTTGACGGACGAGTAAATTATCCTACGAATTGTGAGTTTTTCTTATCACAAACACAAAAGAGGTCTTCTATCGCCCTATTTCGCCCACAATCATCTCACTGCAATGGGCACTTCCAGGACTGAGGTTTGTGGTGGGCACGTAGTGCACATCTTGCTGTTAGAAAGGAACAACCAAGAAGTCTGTGCAACATGATGACTCCGGAGGCGTCTACCAGAAAGCACCCTTGGAACTGTCACCAATTGTGGAACAACTAGAGAGCAATTCTCAACTATGGTATGACCGATCGAGCATCCTCAACCACCGATGCGATATTAAAGCCAGCAAGTCTCAGAAGCAACGGTAGACAGCCCATGAGCACCAACGAGGTTGTATACACACATCAAAAATGATTTACTCTACTTGGTTGAAATCAGAAGTGACTCAAAAAGCACACATTAACAGGACATGACCGATGAGAAACCTCGCTGCGGAGAGGCTGCATTCATAGCAATCATCCTACAGGCAAGCACAATGATTCTTAGCACCTAGAGAAGCATGACAAGCAGTCTCCAGTGACTTCATGATTAAGCAATGGGACAGGGATACCTTGCAAAAACCGTCATGTGAAAAGGAAAGTCGAAATACCTTTGTAGCTTTCGTGTTGTAATGTACCAATTTCACTTTGCAAATCGGCAATATGTAATTACAAGCTCACATTACTCAATCTGCATCTCTGTCGTGTATAGAAGTAAGACACTCTTTTGTGTTGGCAGTGACTGCCTTGATTACCATATTTCACACTCTAACTTGGCCTGTCTCTTTCTCGACGCACCACTTCACAAACAATTTACAATGAAACTTCTATGGAGTATATTTGTGTACAATATCAAAAACCTATCTCCATTATGACAATTGACAATTCAGAATTCACCAAGCTACTGATGGATACAAGAGTTAATTATGGGACGAGCAACTTGTGTGTACAACGCACCAAGCCTCGACTTGCTACGAATGTAACAGACTTTGAATCTTTAGTGCAGTTTGTCAATACGAGAACCGGGATTTTTGAGAGTGCGAGGACAGCAACTTCGGTAAGGAGAAGCCACTCAATCCGGTGGAGTTTCGTCGCTTGTGAGATTTCCCAGGTGATTTTGCAAACCTCGAAGGCGATTTTCCAAACATCCCGGGAGATTTTGGAAACTTCGGTGAGTTTCCGCCAGTTGAGTCGAGAAAATATTCCTCATCTTCCATTAAGGTTTCGTGCACCGACAAGGGGACCATTTCCGGCTCCAATGGCTTCTCGCGTGGTTTCTTGAATGTTTTCCAGAGGAAGGGCACAATACCAGAATAATTTTCCATTACGGTACTATTGAGAGGATTAAAAAAGAGACTACAAATTCTTGCTCTGCGAAGCGCAAGACATCAAGTCGATATGACCCCACTCCAGCTCTTCACAATACCTCTACCATATTCTCTCAACTGAGATACTTGCTGGACATTAAGCAACTCCGACACGAGACAAAAAATCAGAACTCCCCACAAGAATCGACCCAGAAAGTGTATGAATCAAAGCTTATCGTGGGAACTCAAAATAAAACGCTTGCAGTAGGTGTCCTATATACTCCGAATCCCAATCCTCACAAGATTGCGAAAAGATGGTGTAATGAACTCGGGTTTCTGCTATAGAAAACTGAATCTCTCAACCTAGTCGGCAGCTAATGGGAGCGCTTCTCGCCGTTAAAGTTGACACTGCAACTTGTTGGAAACGACCACAACTACAGTATTCGGTAAACAAACATGTCGACTAGTAATGATCGAGCAAGGAGACGAAGGTTGAAGATGACAAGAACCAGATCTATGTTTCCTACCAACACAACACCCAAGTATAGTGGCCTCATGAGCTGGAACCCAAGCAGCCAAGTGAAGGGATCCTAGAATCGAGCAAGGTACCCGTAAGTAGCTGTCAGGCCGCACTCTTGGAGAGAGAGCACTCCCCGCAGCAATTTAAGGCTTAAGATGAAAGGAGAATTGATGATGTACTATTTTTTTAAACTACAAGCAACCAATCCAGATACCATGTTGTGGCAATAATCTCTCTTGCAGCAATTAACTCGTGTAATCTTTGTTGCCCTCAAGGTTTTCTATTCGTTTTTGAAGAAGGAATCAAAAAGCGACAGTCAAAAGTGTTTCAGAATTTTCAAAACTCTTCCACGGCGACTTTGCAAGAAAGACAGATGACTGTAAACTGGATACACAAGTCATCTTTTTCAACTATAAAAATGATAAAATCAAAAAGGCTGCATGATGTGATTGTGACGACTGATGGCCGATGAACGGAGAAAACGTACCTTCAGATGAACTAAAAAGGATTCTTAGGGCCTTATCATCCAATTTCGTTGATTTAAAACATGTAATCACACATCGTAGAATCAAATCCCGACCAGTATTTAACGCAAATACTTGGAAGACGTAGTCAACAGCCTACCAAAGTCAAAAGGGTGCTCAACGAAATTGTCGTAGTCCGATTCCCAACAGCTCTATTATTGATACACGAGATAACAGGTGATATGGCCAGTAGTATGAACGACCCAGAAAACAAGGAATATTTTACAGTCCATAAAAAATCGAAATAGTGTGTACTTCTTCAATTTTGTTTTGCTACTCCGGAAAATGAACTGATCAATGCTAAACCTACTCCGCACGTCTATAAAGCTTACCACCATATTTTCCACAGTACACATATTTACAGTTCTCGCTCATGAAGATTCTCCAGAATTCCTAAAAAGTCTCCAAAAACGGTATGTCAGCCTACTCGAGTCCTAGTCGGAGGAGGCACTGGCTTGCATCATGCCGTCACGTATCTGCTGAGTTATGTCTCCAACATGGCCGGGTCCGTGAGGAAGGAAGACGGTTGTGTTCTTGGAGCCGGCACCAATTTCCTTCATTGTATCGAAGTATTGGGTTATCAAGACGAGATCCATAACGTCTTTCGATGTAGTTCCTGGAACGTTGTTAGAAAACTGAAGAACACTCTCACGAAGCCCATCGGTAATGGCCTGTCGCTGTCTAGCGATTCCACGACCATTGAGATACTTGGCTTCCGCTTCTCCTTCTGCTTTCTTCACTTGCAGGATTTTCTCTGCCTCTGCTTTGTCGAATGCTGCCATCCTCATCCTTTGTGCTGTACCAGAGGAAAACCAAAGAGTAAGTCCATATCACTCCCCCATCATGACTCTTTCTCTTTCAGAGAGAAAGTAGCCCAATTATGCTAATACTTGGATTTTACCTACCCTCATACCCTTTGACCGTATATACCCCACAAGAGTGCTTAATTCGATAAACGATGATACACAATATATTCATATCAAAATGGGTAAAGCTCTTGGAACCAGCCACCTCGATGCAAAAGGAATGCAATATACATAGTGGATACATACTAAAGGAAGATGAGTGGACTAGCTTTGTGTATTACGAAATTCTATCTTGGAGATGAGAGTTGCAATTCTACACGAACCAACGAAGCGTTAGAAATGGAAAGAAAAAGCATGGACTAACTTACCTGCATTGATTTCATTCATAGCCCGGCGTACAGTTGAGTCTGGAATAATATCAACGATCAGCGTTTGCTCGATGCTATACCCATAGGCCCCCATTACCTGATACAGAAATAAAAATAAAAATAAAGCATAAATAAATATTCAATGCAATTCATTTTCTGAAAGGAGCCATCCTAATAAAACCCTCAGTGAGAACTCAGATATTACGACTTCAACAAAGGGTGCTTCAGCTCATGAATTTGTGTTCAATTTGAGCTTTAAACATGAGTACAAAAAGATTGGCAAGAGTAGGTCGCACTTACTTTCTCCAACTCCTCTGAGACAGCTTTAGCAATATCGTCTTTCTGTTCAAAAACATCGTCCAGTATCATCCTAGGAACACATGCTCGTACAACTGTTCAATACAAAAACAAATTAGAGGCTTCGAAAACTTAGAAATGATAAGGTTCGGTGTCATAGCTAATGTAAGTCATTGCAAAGAGTATACCCAACACGACTGAGCGTCGTACTCAACCTCTCGAGTTTGATATTATCTGTGCTCATGCGTTTGGAAGCAATCACATTATCTACGATAAATCTAAGCAATGCACCAGCGTCAAGGCACTACTCTATCGATTTAACTCAAATCTTGGCGCCACTGATAAGTGAAGGGTAAGCAACCACTCGTATTCGAGTACTTTAGAGTAGTTCATAAATATCCAAGAGAAGAAGGTGATCAAAGTTCATATTGATAAAAATTATGGTTTAACATTATATTTAACCATAAGTACCGAATATTGGAATGGAATTCAGAATACCAACCATCAAAGACGTAAGACTGGATCTGCTCCTTTGGATTTTGAAGCTCGTAAAAAGCATCGTCGGCATTCTGACGAACTACACGATACTGAATTGAGCAAACCACCGAGACGAACACATTGTCCTGCAATAAACACTCTCGGAATGTCAGCCCACTCACACTAGGAGAAATGAAACCTCTTCCACCCCAACTTACACAACAAGGGAAAATGCTCGCATGAATAAACGCCATTATCATATCACGAAACAATTCCAAAAATGAAGAACCCTAATTCTTCTAGATTTTCAAAAATTAAAACCCACGCTACCAAACCCTTGGCGCATAAAAATAACTAAAGAATATCAATTCCCAGCTACGAGAGCCAAAAAAACCCTTAAAAAAATAGAATTAATAGAAAATGCACCAAAAACAAAGAATTCCAATAAAAAGACCTCACACCGATAATCATCTCCCTCCACACATAAAAAATATAAATAAACAAATAAATAAATAAAAACAGAGGCAACAGAGGCATAAAATTCAACAACATCAAGACTCACTTTAGTTTTAGTGTCGCAGCGAACATCAAGAGACTGCACACGCAGCGAGAGGCGCCCCGCCAACCATTCACCAGTAAATGGATTCAGGCAGTGCAAACCAGGTTGCGCAAGTCCTGAAAATTTCCCCCATTTCTCGATCACGCCTACTGTGGACTGCGCCACGCAAATCAGACATCCAAAACCCTCCATGTCTGCTGCGGTCCTAAGCTTAGAAACCAGATCTCCACAACTTATACTGCACACACACGATACTCAACTGCACAACAAGCTCGGGCCTAAGGATCCAATAAGTAATTCCCGGTTATGGCACACACTACGAATAGCGGTGGCATCGTCACCGAGGCCATCGTCACAGGAGCCATTCAGGAGGTGAAGGAAGGTGGGGCTGGGGCAATCTCAGTCCTCCATCTCGACGTTCTGCGATCGACGGCTGATAATACACCACCTATAACGCGTCGTAAGGGAACGCCAGATGGGAACAACGTTCAACTCCCTTGTCAGCAAAACACGTGCCCAATTTTGACGGCTATTTGAAAAACCTCATGAAAACTAGATATTTAATGCAAAAACCCAATTGAATCTGTGAGTCCACATTTGTAGTTATGATTTTATTTCGCTCTTCACTAAATTAATTCAGAAGTCTACAAGTTTACTCAGTCTGTTAATCCTTCAACTTCAATCCAAGTGAATTGTGGTTTCTTGTTGACATCTCTCTGGTACCTGTGACGCCAATGTCATTCCACGCGGGGCCTGGATATGGAGAAAGGATTTACATTAAGGAATTGCTTGGTGGCAAGGAATGGCAATTCTTACGGGAACAGACCCTCTTTCTTGTCGCGTATGCGGGATAGCATCGTGGAACAGAACTCTTTAAGTCGTCAGTGGCATAGATGAGCTGATTGGAGTTTCCTATTTGTTCTTGGTTGTCGCGAACCGTTAAAATATACGTTGGAGACGTGTATCTTCGGTGATAGATACAATTTCCGCAAGAACATCAAGTCTGCATACACGTTTAAGCAAGGAGGTTTCAACACGTAAGACTCTTTAGTGTTGTTCGTGAAGAGCCGATGGTTTGAGAGGAGGAGTTACCACGAATGATGCGATTGAGCTCTTGAAGAATCCCAAACATGTGCTCATGTATTCATCACCAGTTAAGTTAATCTGTCTACAATTCTTCCTACTTTTAACTGAATCCGCCAACTCAAATTATACCTTCAGTTTTCAATTTGTTTCTAGCTTCACTTGTAATTGATTCATCAGCTTGCTGGACTGTCTAATGCTCTGTACAGAAATCCCATGGGTGCGTACATTTCCTTTTCAAGTTGAGATCGCACCTCTGGCATGGCACGATTGTCTAATTTTGGTGAAAACTGAATATATGATCTACTGTCAATCTGCTCCTACTCAATCTTTGTCAATTTTGCGAGAAAAGCTCGGAAACGCTGTGATGATGTCCCTGCAATAGCATTTATAGCAATTCATCAGTTCTGTTGTATGAAACTACTAAAAGCACATATTAAAAATGGATCTAATGTTTTATCTGTAGTTTCTGTGGTTAAGAATTTGAGTGTCCAGTACGAAATTTGAACAAATGAAAAAAGGAAGAAAAAGGAAGAAAAAAAAACCACGATGAAGAGTGAATTACCTTAGATAAGGAAGAGTCATATTTTGCATAAGCCCCGGGTGACGCCTAACCAGTCTCTCCCACTCTTCTTCATCGATACGACCAGCAAGCTTCGTACCAGCCTCTGCGAATGTCTAAATACCATAACCAAAATTAGTAAGAGGAGTACAGGTTACGTGTTCACCTTACGCAATGACTTTCTTGATTACTTCTTGACATACGGGAACTTTTAGCCCACATGTGAGCTGGATAGTTGCATGATAACAGCACTATTCAGCTAGGAAGCAACAGCCCTGCATGAAAAGAACAGTCACAATACCATGTCCAAAATAGTCTCGATAACCTCGGGTGACAGATCTAGGGTCGATTCGCACAGGATTGCATCCAGCATTTCCTTCACCTGCCATGATCATAGGCATCATATCTCATTCGCAGCCCCTCTCCCTGGAACTTGGATTTTGAACAGATAAGAACTATTTTCACTCTTCGTAATCACAGAAACTGAAAGAGGAAAATCTGACAATTTGATGATCAGTTTGCCAGAATGATTTTCAAAGTTCCAGCAACAAGGAAGAGTATAGAAGGTACGTACCTCTTCACGTTCTATGTAACCTGTTTGGTGTAGATCGTACAACTTGAATGCAACTGCATGAATATCAGAGAATCCCAGTGATTCAAAACATGCAAAACCTTAAAATATATTCTAAAGACAAAGCAAGTTGCTGACGCAGTGGAGCTTATGTTGAAAAGGTTAAGTTTATTAGGAATGAAATAAAATCATGTTAAAAAAAAACACGAATTGTATGAAAGCGCCTACATTGAATTTTGTCTTCAGCACGAGCCATGGGATGGAATACGCTCAGAGAGCGCACGAATTCGCCAAACTCGATCACACCATTCTGTTTTCGGTCAAATAGGTAAAATACCTGCCACATTGAATACCACGACCTCCTGTCAACAAGAGCAGGCAAATCATTTTCGACAGACAGAACATGTGACAAAAATAATAATAATGAAAAATTACGATCTTCGAATTTTCAACTGGATTACAAAATCCCAGATAAGAGACACGATCCCTACCCGATCTGCGAACAAGTTTTTCCTTTCACTGTCCCCAAACAACGCCAATTGAAACTCTTCCTGCAACATAGAATACTGTTAGTTATTTTTTTCAATTTGAAATGCTACTCATGAGTGACGGTACGTTGTTCTCTGTTCTAATGTGCTTTTAATCCGTGACATAAACATGCTGATGGATTAATCACATGATTCATCAGTCTTTCACATCCAGTAATGAGAAGAAAATCTTCAAATATACACAAAGATGTACTAGCTCTGGGCAGGTTCTCTCGGGAGCTTGATTAGCAAATGCGTAGAAATCTTCGATGAACGACAGAGTACTGAAGAGTGAAAGTAATTAAAACCTTGTGTATAAGGCCATCGTCGATAACCGAGTGGCTAATCTTCATGAAAAGCTCATACAGCGCTTCTACCTCATCGACACTGACTGAACCCACCATCAATTCCAACAATGAACCCCAATTTTAGTCCGAGATACGTGCAACTAACTCCCTCCACAATTGATAGTATTCTGTCGGTGAATTGCTACATAGCCTCAGTTTGCTTTCAATCACGGCAACGTGAATTCAAATAGGGCAAAGTGGCCATACACACGGTTTCCTTAGCGAGAACTGAGGGATCTTCATAGCCAGGGGGCCTCCTCCAGCTGCTCGCCAGAAAGCACTTTGTCAGGGGGCCAAAGCAATTTCCTAGCGCCCTACAAAGCGGACATAGTATCGATAACAACTCTTCCTCTACGCTCCCCACCGCAGCCCCTGCACTAAGCAGATCCCCAAAAGAGTGCATTGGTGCCATCTTCTTCGCCACAATGTGTTACATTGAAAAGACACAATTCATCGCATCGACATTAGCCAAAAGACTCTCTGCGTTGCTACAGAAGAAACAAGAAAAAAATCTCTAGAATTCCTTAAGTTGCCCTTCGCCTCACAAGTGATCTGGATCAGAAGTTTCCAGCCAATTTTACCCATATTGAAGAAGAGCAACTTCTGCGCTTTCCGTATTACGACGTGCCAGAACTCGACTTATCCGATAGAAGCGCGGCTTGTTTTACCGTCATGAAGAACAGCCACATTCGCACCACCTAAATAATGCCGTGTGAAGGTATGGCGCCGGTCTCTTCAGCAACAGGTTCAAAGCACTACTGTCCTCAAGTGTACCCATCAGGGGTCCATCTAAGACCTATCAGAGCTGTAATATCTGGATTGACTCTATGCTTCACGTGGCGACATTCCCAAAATTTTCACGAAAGATGAAAAGAATGTAAATACACTATCGATGCCTTGGGAAGGATGGTACGCACCGGTGGTACACGGAAGATTCAGTATCGTTTGCCAACAGCATCAGAATGAGCAGCTAGTCTGCACAATCATCGCTATAAGCTTTCTTCAAATCACTTCACACTACGAAATCCACTCGCAGTGCTCTACAAACCCACTCCCGAAAAAGACCACCGTTCTGAATCTCTCCTCTAAGTCGCCACATTAGAGATAAATGAAACCAGCTTTTGGAGACGATCACACACATACACCGCCGTCTGCACAGAGAAATCAAATCTCCGACTGCCACTCCTCCCTCGTATACTGTTTCTCTAAGCTCTCGTATGCTAAGCAATGCGCTACTAACATAGAGGAGGAGAACCAACACTCACGGCGGAGCGCTAGTGGATTTCGATAAGAGGATACCGGCCGAAGCATCGCTACCTTCGTAGTGTGATGTGATTTACGACACAGCTAAAGAAATTACAACGCATTAACACACTACCTCTTGCGTCCGTCGGGAATGGCCTGCAGGCGGCGCTGGACTGCGAAGTGCTTTTCCGGCAATCCAACAGAAACAAGCACCAAGATTCTCTCACGAAGAATTCCAAAGATATTCCGGGCTTGGAGTGCCTGGCGAGGGCGACCCCAAGTCACGTGCACGAGAGAATCATATGCTAGACTCCAATCACTTGCGTATTCCATACCTTTGCTTGCTTAATCCTGACACAAGCTGGACGAAATACTAAATAATGAAGGGAGGAATACTAAATAATAAGAGGAACACTAAACGATGAGATCCAGATCCATTCAAATTCAATCCTATCTTTTTATAGCATACCGGCTAGCGAAAGCTTTGGCACAGGCTGTATCGGCTAACGATAAAGGCACCAGTTCTTCCCTGATCTATCCTATTCTCTTCGATGACTTGGGGAATCTTCACCAGTTAGCTCGGTGCTCCTCCATCGTATGATATTCATTTCACCTTCTTTTCCCTCGCCACATATTTCTCTGCTCCACTTCCATGGCAACTTGTGCTTTGGAATGCCACTTTGCCGAGTTCCGCACGGAGATTCAAACGCTTCGACAAAACCTCTCCGCAGTCTGGGGCTGCTCTGCCGAGGGATGACAGATGTTTCTCGATCATGAACAAAACATATATCATCTGGGTGGGCAGCGGACTGGGGCTGCCCATCCTCAGCCTGCCTACCCTCAACCTGCCAAATATATTCCTTGTCAAATACAGTTTTCAGTTCCCCCGACTCTCGCCTTGATTTGCTCTGCAAGTTGCTGTGTAGTTTTGGGGCAAGTCTCCTGTCCCGGGCTGGTGGTGTGTCATTATTAGTTTATGTGTTTGTTTCCTAGGTTGCAGTTGTGGTGGCTGTTCAAAACAGGTACTCAGCTCGCATTTTGACCTTTTTCTTTGGTACAGCAGTTACTCAACTCGCACTTTGCAGAACATGTACTCAGCTCGCACCTTGACTTATTTACTTCGCTGAACAATTGCAATCTGCACTTTGACCTATTTACTTCGTAGAATAGGTACTCAGCTCCCACTTTGACAATGTTACTTCGCAAAATTGTTACTCAGCTCGCGCTTCGACCTTTTTACTTCATCCATGCGTGTCTACTCACAAACATTGATGTAGAGTAACTGCCCCGTATTTTATTGATCAACTTACTGTCTGGCGACCAATTGTTAGATGCAATTTGACAGGATTACAGATTTACAGTTAATAAAAATGTTTTGGTGCGAGGTGTCATTTGGAGTTTCCATTCATCTAGGACCAGGTACCAGCTGGGTACCTCTTCTGCTCCGCTGCGGCCATGGCCGTGTGCAGATCGTTGTCGACCGTGCAGGCCACGGAGACGGTTTAACTCAATGATAGGCCGCAGTGGAAGGATTCCTGGTTCCCCTAATCGAACCATTGTTGATTGTTGGAACGCTGATCTTGTTACTTGTGATCTCTAATTGTCGTTGTAGTGTTCGACTTGGTATTGGTCCTCTCTACTGTCGCTGCTCCCTCATCGTGGCCCTCTCTGCAGAAGATCTCTCTTTCTGCCGCGGCCCTCAAAGCGCACGCTTGGTCTCCTTCTCGCAACCTTGTGAATTTACAATGAGCCATCGTTCGCGACTCCAATGTGCTGATGATCTAGCGAACAGCGATCCCCAGTTTGCGATGCCCATAAATTTCTTCTCACGAGCACCGATTCCCTTCGCGGCGCCGAGAGCGCATCCTCCTGGTCGCCGACTTTTCCCGAAGGCGCCCTTTTCCCTTCTTTTTCTCTCCCGAACCAGATTCCCTTCCCATCTCTGTACCAGATCATGTCCCCCTTTTCTCGCCTCTTTATACCATGAAAATTATTCATGAAGGCCATGCAAAATAATCACGTTCAATCTCAGCCCGAATATCATTCATTATTTGATATTACGCAACAATTCAATTAATCACATCTTGATGTAATGTAACAATTAGATTAAGAGAATTGTTAAATTAACCCATGCATTTACTAAATCGACCAACCCATCCTAAACATCATCAAATAAGTCTGTATTGTTTGAAAAACAATGAAAAACAATTGTTGTATCTGTAACCAATGATGATGGGTGGGTTGTTTTAGTAAATGACGTTAATTTAACGATTCTCTTAAATTAATTTCTTGCTAATAAATCTAACAGTGTATTGTTAGAACATATGTTTTCTAATTGTGCAAACCACTTGGTTGATTATGCAAAGTATATTGCTAGAGATCCAATGAGACAATGCTCATTGATCATTCAAATTGGTGTGTGGATTATTTTATCGTTTACTTATTTTAATTGGTTTTAAAGTTTATTTACTTAATATTTAAATTGGTTTTTTCTTAATCATTAATTACTTATTTAAATTTGATTTGGTAGATGAACTTTAGAAGGTGAAAATCAAAGCCATAAAGACCCAAAATCTTTCATGCAATACATATATTCTTATTGTGAACATTCTTTTATGTTGCAATTTATGCAAACACCAAATTGTTATTCTTGTTTATTTTCGATCTTATTGTACCCAAAAATATATATATATATATATATATATATATATATATGTATATATTTTTGAAAAATCGACTTAATTATGTAATAATACCTACTTACTTGTAGATATATATATATATATATATATATATATTTCAATACATTGTAAATACTCTGTTTTGATACCATTCTTCCTTATTTCTGTTTTTTTCAGCACCTCATCGTACCAATGAAGCATTGTGATCCATTTGTCGGGTTTCACAGCTTCTGATTCGTGTGTGTGTGTGTGTGTTTTTTTGTTTTGTTTCGGGGATTATGCTTTGTGATGCTTTGGCATCTTCCTCGGTGAGCTGCCCAGTGGCGAGAATTCGTTCCTCGTGGATGAATGATAATTGTGCACGTTTCTTCTCATCATGCACTCATCATTCGTCGGAATAAGCATGACGGATCGGACACATGAGGTTGCGTGGACCATACCATATTGGAATATATCTTCATGTCTAGGAATGATAATTATATTACATGTTAGTATTTAATGAATTAATATTTTTGGTATTATTTATTTTTTATTTTTTTAGTGTGTAATGTACTAATCTATATTTTGATTAATAATTATGTTTTAAAAACATATGCATATGCATACCAGCATTTTAATTATTAAAAAAAGAAATTTTAAAATTCGGATTATTATTAAATTTTCAATTTAAATTTTCTATACCACCAAAAACTTGATGATTTAAAATAATATTATTAGCAATTTTTCAAGTCAGTTTTTATTATTTTTAATAATCCTTATGATCTATATTATATTTCAATTTAAATAGTACATATTTTATCATTAATTCTAAATCCTACCATAGCATTACATACATACATTCAAATATTTCATACAAACAGTTAAACACTTTTGGTGAGAAAATACACATTCTTATTTATATACATTACAAGAAAAATAGATGTTATTATTGGCTTTTACAAAAAAATAAAAAAATAAATAAAAATAAAATAATATTTAAAGTTATCTGTGAGTATATTATCTCTCCTTTTTTTATATTGAATGGACCTGAGTTCTTAAATGTATAGTAAATATTTTATAGACTTGTTTATAAGTTTAGGATTAATATCAAATTTTAATCGTGTTTTGTTATTTAAGATTTTTTTTTCTCTATTATTTTTAGAAGTAATAGTTTTTTGTTATTATTCTTTCTAAAAGTGATAAGGTTCAAGTAATAAAATATTTCAACTAGCATACCAAACCACATGTATCAGTCTTCTTCTTTATGTATAAAATGCATAATTAGAACGATTTAACACACAACAAAAATAACAAAAAAAGAAATAAATAAATAAATAAATAAATTATTATTTGTTTTTTATTTTATTTTTTGCTCCTTATGATTATTAATTATTTTTATGAAGACCATAAGAAACAGATTTGAAGGCATAATATTAAGACTCATACAAGTACATCAAAATATTTACTTGGATTCTAATATCTTCAATAATAGTTAAACTAATGTTAATCTTGTAGCCATAATTTATGATTTTTTAAAGTTTTGAAAGTCTTATTAAGCTTAAACATGAAAGTTTTTGTATCAACCAAATTTTAAAACATGACAGGAATAATTAAATATATATGAGTATATATACATAAATATATAAAGGAAATGATAAAGCAATCCAAATTTTTACTAAAGCAATTAACTCTATCTTAATCATCATTGCATCTCTTTTATTTTCCATCCTTATTTCCCACAATCTCCATGTGCTTAGATCGCATCTTGATCCCCTTCTTGTTTCTAGTCACATGTAATGGATAATCAACATTGTTCCCTTAACTTCCAATTCTGATATTTGATTCAAATCTAACTATGAATGTTATTACTCTGTGCACCTCAATAATATTGCTCTATGATGTAATTTAATCCTATAAAAAGATGAGAGAACAAAGATGGTAGATCATTCCAAGCAAGGACCATGCATTGAAAGTATTTTAGTTAAACAAAGCCCTTAACAAAATCTGAGTACTACTGCTACATCGCCCATTACACAAGATTCTTGCAATGCTCCAATTACGAGAGATGTTGAGTAGTAATGAGCAACTGGGTTCTTATACTTCATGGGATTTATTACATCTTTGTAACTACAAAATTAAAATTTTCAATGTTCACAATGGATTTGATGGACATGCTTAACATTCAAGGTCACATTATTACAACAATTCAACAATTTAAGAGATATTTTTTATACATCCCCGCCTACAAAAAATGTGCTTTCATTCCCAAAAGCAGTCAATATCTTAACAAATATTCTAAATACTCTTTGTTAAATGTGATGATACTCACACTTAAATCCAATCCCATATAATATCCAATCCCACATAAAGAAGAATGTTTGTATAAATGCATCTCCTATCCTATATAATAGAGTCAATCGTCAACTACTATCAAGGAGGTAGGCCAAGATTGTAGGGATTAATACAATTCACCATATGAGACCATAGTCAATGATGATTCAGTAATAAAACTTGAGGAAAAAGAGAGAGAGAGAAGTGAAGGAGAAGAAGAGAGTTGGTGATTGTAGAAAATATTCATGTGAAATTACAAAAAAAATAATTATGCCATTAAGGCTCCATCAGGCGCTGCTTGCGATGTGAAAATACTTTCTCCAAAAACGAACTAGAATACCAAATCCTTCATAGAAACTCGATGACTCATGACCTTGAGCCTTGAACACAATTTTATTGGCGTAGTGCAGACTTTAGTTGTTCACTACTTGGATTGATCTATAAGTGCAAGAATATTGGGAGAATTGAATAATTTGTAATCTTCATCCTCTCTTGTTCTCTCTATCTTATGGCCTAATGTTGTATGAGGGATAAAATATTATTGTATAAATTCTACAGCTAATTTGATTGGAGTTTAGGAGATTATATAAAGTACTAATTAGTGTGCAATGCTCCTTCTTACTTTCCTTCTTTTATGTGTGGTATGTTGTTGTTGATCCATGTTAATCCATATCCTTTGCTCTTCAAATAATCTTAATTAGCATGCCCAAGATTTGGCTTTTGCATATTGAACTACATAAAAAGACCACTCTCTTCTAACATGGATTATAGATTGGATTGAGCAGTTTTATTAGGATGCAAAGTGTAGTAATATATTCTACATTCAGCAAGATTTGAATCAAATATCAGAACTAGGAATTGAAAGGACAACAATAATTATTCATTATGTGGAAGTGAGAACAAAGAGGAGGTCGAAATGCGATTTGGGAACTTGAAGAACTTAGAGAACTTGGGAAACAAAGATGGGAAATGAAAGAGGTGCAATGATGGTTAAGATAGAATAAAAATTTGAATTTCTTTATTATTCTCCATATATATATATATATATATATATATAAAATAGATAAAATAATTTTTGTAATATATATACAAATTTTGGCTCAAGTAACAAGCACACTTCAAGTTACTATATACACCCATTATATCTATATACATACCCAAAACTTTTGATTGGCTCATTTAAATTCTTTTTTCTTTGTCTTGGCATAGATTTTAGTCCCTCTCTTTTTCTTCTTTGCCTAGACATGGGTCCAAGTCCCCTTTTTCTTGACATTGGCTCTTTTGCTATAGACTTGAATCCGCTCTCTCAACTGGTTGTCTGAAACCATTTAGATATTTATCTATTGAAATGTTATATAGAAAGAAAGAAAGGTGGTACTTGTGCTAGGAAAAGAGAGAAAGGTAAGACCCACATTGAAGAAAAGAAGAGACCTACACATGAATAAGAGAGAGAAGAAAGGAGATTATAACTCATGCTAGAATAAAGGAAAAGAGATTTAGATAAGCCAATCAAAAGCCTTGGGTGTGTTTATAGATATAATGGATGTGCATATAACAATATGGAATGTGTTTGTAGCCTGAGCCAAAGATTTTTAGTTTGTAATCTCATGCATGGTATTAATAAATTATTGCATATCAAAATTACTTCTTATATATATTTTTAAGAATTATTTTAATTGATAGTTATTATCATGACATACATATCTATAACTATATATATATATATATGTATACTATAATTATAACATTTTATATTACTGTACATATCACTTCTAGGTTTTGAAGGAGAGTCCTAAAAACCCTAAAATCCTCAAACCTAAATAGTCGACGGCAACAACCGATCGCATGTGTGTCACCTCAATCATGGAATCTATTGTCACGCTCGTGGCTGGACTTCATACTGTGATTCTTCCTTTTCACCTTCAGTCTTACGTTACTAAATTATTAAAAACATTGAACCAATCTTGTGTTGCAACTTATATGGATTGTTTTGTTTTGGGGATCTGGATTCTTCTGTTTGACTTCGGCGCATTGCAGCACAAGCGATACTTTGCGTTCTGTCACTAGTCTTTCCACAGTGGTTTTTTATATCTCATTAAAAAAGTGAGAACAGGGATTGGGATTGTTCCTATATCGTTTCACGATGAATTGTGTGCATCGTGTTTTGTGCCGGCGTCTTTACCTCAGATCGACTTGCAGGTACTGAAGCTTACGGATTATCCATCGGCCACAAGCCAGTGATCCTCATGGCTAGTTACTGATTCTTGCTATGGAGGCTGTGCACTGCACGAGGAAGGCTTCGAAGCGAAAAATGCTGGAACTGTTCAACGTTGCAGAATTGGGCTGCTCTCTGAGGGAAGAGAGAGATGGGTCTGAAAAACAGTGCCTCTAGGTTAGATTGCACGGAAATTGCTGATGCGGCTCAGGAGACATGTTTCAGAAGTTGCCCTCTTTCTCGGGTACACATAGATGATCTCACAGGAAGTTGTCCTTTGTCCGATTTGCACTGAAGTTTCAAGATTTTTTCAGGTTTACACCAACAGTATTAATGTAGATGTTTGATCACTGGTCCAGTTCTTATTAATTAGGATTTCTAATTGGGTGGACTAATTGTAATTTTCTTTGCGAGTCCTTTAAACCTACTTCAAAACTTGAAATTGTATTATGGAAGTGAGTTTGCATGAAGGTAAAATAATACTACAGAGTGGGAAAACTTCAAATGCAAATTATAAACACATATTTGAGAGACAAAAATCAAACAATGAATCTAGGTGCATTAGAAACCTATGGCAAACCTTTGTTCACATTTCTTGATGAACATTGTTAGGCATGTAGAAGACAAAAGCTCTTGGTTATAACTGTGTTACTGCGATGGAAGATTTCAGGCTATGGCTACAAGGACGTGCATTTGCTCACATAGTACTTCTGGTTTTACACAATTGAAGATCAGTTGCACAAGTTCTTTTCCAATTAATATTTTAAATGAAGTCGACTAAGTCAACAACGATGGGCAACAGACAGGAACGGAGCCCTCCGCTGAAAAGACTGCAGTGCTAATTGCATGTCCATGCACTTCCCATTCCATAATCCTTCTGACAACTGTAAAGAGAGAACGAGAGGTGAAATAATGTGAAAACACTAGAGCACCAAACGGGCCCAGAAAGATCGATGCGATCGTATGTTGTTACCAAACTAGACCCCAAGTCTTCAGGCAACAAATGATTATGCCGTCCCTGAAAATGACTCGTAGGAGGCCAGCAAAATGAGCCAGACTGAACCAGGAAAATATTCAACTACACAGAACTATCTTCAGAAACAAATAACGAAGCATAACCATGGGTTCTGCCCCCAGGAATAGTCCTATTGATTTCAGCGCTCCTGGGAAAGGAAACCAGTGTGATGCAAATGCCAAAAAACTCCTGGCTAAGCACCAAAGGATGGACAGCTCCTGCGTAGTGATTGCTTGGGTAGACAAACCCAATTAACGTCAACAGAATCTGAGCCAAGGATTTTAACCTATGCTTGCCGCAACAAAGTTGAAATTTTACAACAACATATTCGCAGACGTTGCTGAATCAGAAATCAAGCTCTGCGAGGCCAAAGGATCTTTCAACTGCCTTGTTCCAACTCAGGCATCTCTTGTTACGCTCGTCATCTGTTATTTGAGAGTGAAAGACAGTTGGTGCTTCCTGAACAGCACCTTGTTCAATAATCTGTTCCTTGGTCCATACTCCCACAGCAAGACCAGCAGCATAAGCTGCTCCTAAAGCTGTAGTCTCAATGTCAACTGGTCTAACCACTGGACTTCCAAGTAAATCAGCCTGCAGGCAACAGAAGGTGTCACAAAAAGGGTAAAATGTGAGTGGATAGCATCTACACAAATTCACTTACCCCAAAAAGAATAATTATAACCATTAGTCCTGGGGTATCTGGGATAAAAGCACGCAATTATGAACAGCGTGGTTCTGAGAATATGCAGACACAGCATAACTTTGGACAAGTTTGCGGAAAATGTTTCAGAAATTTTCATTGTTTCCAACAATTCAATCACTTCCACGAGTAGTGACCATCCAGCAGTGGGTACAATCCAGATTCAGAGAAAGTTCGTATCAAGATGCATGGATTACCAAGAGCACCATGAACTAACCTGAAGCTGCATAAGCAAATTATTAACAGTTGCACCACCATCCACTCTCAGCAAGAATTCCCCGCCAACAGTAGCCTCAATGTTACCCGCATCTGCTTTCATTGATGTCAGAACCTCCTTAACCTGGCGAAAACAGAATGAAATGTCAGAGCTTTTCAAATGAGGGCATACCCAGCAACATCATCGTCGCAATGAAGTAAAGATTAATCTTTCCTACAAACATGATCAGGACCGAAACTATAACACTGCTTTAATTAGTTTGATACAAGTAACTCGGCAATAACGATATTTTTGAAACATTACAACGTGAATAATGACAGAACGTACTCCTCCCAAGTCACAACCTGGGAAGGGAAACCATCCCTGCTAACTGAAATATTGCTTCTTAACCTCACAAACAACATTTGAATAGACAGCATGTTCCATATTCTGTACAAAGCAACCTTTCCATGTGCCGAGAACTCTTCATATAAAAGGATAAACCATTAACACACTGGGCTTCTGAGCAAGCACAATAAATTTCGACCACACAAACAATTACCTGGTAGCACATGCTCTCTAATGTGGCCCGAGCGATGTGGGCCTTGTTTGTGTACCTCGTGATGCCAACCAACACTCCACGTGCATCGTCTCTCCACCAAGGAGCAAAAAGCCCACTAAATGCAGGTACAAAGTAAACTCCTCCTGTGTTATTAACGGTCTTTGCTAGACTCTCGATCTCACTTGAGCTTTTTATGATGCCCAAATTGTCCCTTAACCATTGAACGGCTGCCCCTCCAATTGCAATAGAGCCTTCAAGTGCATAGTTGGTAGGAGCGTCTGGTCCAAGCTTGTATGAAATTGTTGTCAACAATCCATGATTCGATGGAACAATTTGTTCTCCTGTATTAAGTACAATAAAACACCCTGTTCCGTATGTGCTCTTGGCCTCTCCTGCTTTACACTGTTGTCCAAGAGTGGCTGCGTGCTGGTCTCCTAAACAACCAGCCAACTGAATACCTGCGAACGGCCAGTCCTCAGATACCTTCCCAATCAGTTCCACATTGCTAATGATTTTGGGCAATATGGAACGAGGAATGCCCAGATCCTTTAGTGTAGGCTCATGCCACTGTAACGTGGTCAAATCCATGAGCATAGTACGAGCAGCATTTGTGCAGTCGGTTACATGCACAGGTTCTTCAGCGTTCAATCCGCCTGTTAAATTCCAGATGAGCCATGTGTCGATAGTCCCAAATAGAGCATCCCCACTTTCTACCCCAGCTTTCACCTCTGGCACATGTTCCATGAGCCAAAGAATCTTGGTGGCGCTGAAATAAGGATGGATAGGAAGACCACAGGTGCTCACAAATCTGCGACCACCTTCGGGATGCTGTTTCTCCAAATGCCTGCCAGTTACAAACGAGATAAGATCAGAGTTGACACTATTTGTTAATACCTTTCCTGCACATATGCTCATCTCATGTCTGCGGAGTGAATCGGATTCGAAGCATGAGTGTTTTTACAAAGATAAATATTCTAGAGATAATGCACTACATCACCCATATAAAAATATAAAGCAAAGCAAAAACAAAATCCCGCACCAAGAATACTCAAATGTTTCTCTGGGAGCAGCCAAGAGAGTACGAAGAAATTACCTGCATATGGAACTTGTGCGGCTGTCCATCCACACTACTGCGTTGTAGTATGGCTTTCCCGTGCTCCTACTCCAAATAACTGTGGTCTCTCTTTGATTAGTGATCCCTATTGCCTTCAAGTTATCAAGGATATCTAGTCCTTTCTCTTTGCCTTTTGCAAGTGCACCTTCCATGGCTTTTCGAACTGTATCCAAGATTTCCATCGGGTCGTGTTCTACCCATCTGCACGCCAATGCAAAATGAGTGTGCCATAATAATTGGGAAATAAAAAGGGATCCACTTATCAAACTCCCCGAACTTATCAAAGTCCATCACATCACATGAAGACTTTGCAGAATACTCGACATATTTTGAACTTTGCTGACGAATTCCACTGCATTTACTGACAAGGGGAAAGTTTGATTAAGGGAGATACTTCCTACTTGGTAGATGTGGATGCTTCAAGAAACATACAAACAACAAAGCCGAGAGAAATAAGTTGATTCTCGACGAATACAATACTTTCGTAGTACTGTGAGTTTATTATCCGCAGAAGCATGTGAAGCAAATCCCTGACATTTTAAAATTGTGAGAATTAGAGTAGTTGCACGTGTCTAGTGCATAAATGGACCGAAATGCGCTAGAGAAGGGCACAACGAGTCCGCCAAAAATGTAAACCAAAAAGTGGGGAAGAGAACGAGTGTGAGAAAAATAATTACCCTGCCTGTGGATAGATCTGCGTAAACTCCAGCTGATGCGATACCACAACCTTGGCGGCAGTATCATACACAATAAAACGAGTGCTGGTGGTACCCTGATCAATAGCAGCTACATACGTCGCTGTGTCTGGTCTCTTCTCCCCCTTCATCCCTTCCACTTCCATCTCACCACCAAATTCTCACCTCAAATTCTAGAATCTCTACTGGAAAAAACCCAATCCCCTCACTCAGTCCCTCAACTGCGAGATCCGACCCCGGTTCCAACGTCCAGCTTGCTCAAAAGTTCCCCAATACCACAAACCCACAAACGCTACGACTTGCGAAAATTCCAATCGCACGATGCACTTCGCCTCTCGAAACTCCTTACGTACCAAACCCAACAACACAATTCACACTCCGATTCGCACAGACTCCAATCGCACGGTACACCTACCACACGATCACTCCACCTCTCGCACCTCTTTAAGTACCAAACTCGACATTAAAATCCACACACTCCCATGCACTGAATCAAATTGACCTGAATATTAAACCTAAGAAAAAAACAAAGGGGGATACAAATTAGTCCACCGATCCATTGATTTCCTCAACTGAGCAGGTCACCAACACATCCCCCATCTACTGAAATATCAAAAAAAAAACACAAAAGAAGTTCAAGGAAGACCAGCGGAACAATGTCAGAAATTCAGCAGCGATAATAATACGATTGTCAGGCGGTGGGTGGCGGTGTTGACGATAGAGTGCACAAGTCGAAAATTCTTTGATTTTGACGTGGGAATCCATCCAAACTCCTCGCTTACCAGTCTCCGAGTTCTCCCCCCGCTTATCTCGTCTTCGGCCTTCGAAGCTGCCGATCCCTGTAGTAGAATTGGAAGCGTAGCTTCGCCGGGATAGACACCCGGACATATATACCAGTATATGAATAAGAATATCTTCAGGGTATGAACCCTATATGGAGGGTATATAGTGGAACTGTTATTGGGGCACCGTCGTTGTCGATATCCACCATCTTCTGGTGCACAGTCTTGGCACGGACCCATTCTTGCACCGACCCCGGGTTCTCGTGTCCTTCACCACGCGTTTCTTATGTGTGTGTGTATGAGCCAAGGGAATAGGCTCCCACTCTGCTCGTTCCCACCCACAACTTGCTCATATGTTATGAATGATGGCTGACTGGATGACAAACATAGTGTAGAATATAATTAATCTTTGATAAAAGGTGGAATCAACTGGATGGAGGTGGGCCAATGGATATTGGAAACATTTGAGAGTATATAATAGGGTGATTTGGTGAAGTATCAAGTGATATTTTGAAATATCATGGGATACTTTGAACTTGCATCACAAGTGATTTTTTGTAACAACAATTTTGTGTGTTGATTTTTTACAATTAATCACTTGGTTACATCAAAAATTTATTTGTTTTCTATAGGAAGCAATATTTGCCTACTAAAAAATTCATACATTTCAACTTAGGAGCATCATCTATATTTTGATGATTGTAAAAAAATTGAGCCTAAAGTAATACTAGCATTGTCAAGTTTTTAAAATTTAAAGTGAAGAGAAGTACTACTATTATTGAAGTCAAAAGCATCAAATTTTAGATGATAATCATAGTTAGAAAAAAATATATTTATTGAGTAGAAAAATATACCATGTTATTATATCCAAACTTTGCCAATGGCAAAAGAATTTTTCAGTCATTTTATTGATAGTTCATAATACACCTCAAATACTACTCTAAAATTTGATTTACACTCTTCTTCTTTTTTTATTAATTTGAAGATGGAAAATTAATGATAATTTTATATCTACTTCTAGAATCTTAAAAAGAATTCTTAAAAACCTTAATGCAAATTGAGTCTTTTTATTCAATGTAATATCTTTAAATAATTTATGGTAGCAATAAATATTATAAAAAAAAAATCTTATTTGTTTCTTTACATGTGATAGATTATATGATACAAAATGTATCATCTTAGTAAAATGATCTACAATCACAAATATAAAATCATAAAAATTTGAGATTAGAAGATTGATGATAAAGTCCATAGAAACAAAAGACCATGATTATTCACAATAGATAATTGTTGAAAAAATCCATAAGGTTAATAATAATGAATTTTTAATCTTAAAAAATATCATATGATTGTACAAAGTCTTTGACTACCTTCCATATTCGAGGCCATCAAAAATCTTTAGATGTTAGTTCCAAAATCTTGTTGTATCTAAAATATCGAGCTTGAAGAACACATAATTGTGCTTTATCTTTTAGAACATATAAGTACTTTTCAAAATAGAATATTTTTTAAAAAAAATTCAAACTTGAAAGTTTCATAAGATTTAGAAGAATTATTTTTAATATCACAAATAAGATAATCAAAAGATATACTTAATTGAACTTGCTTAAGAAAAGTTGAATCAATAGTTAGTGTTGATTTCATTGCTCAAAGATGAAATTTTTCTAATTTTAAAAAAATTATTTGTTGTTGATCAAAAGTTTCATGTTTTTCTTATGGGATAAGACAAGATCATTTAAAAAGGGCATTCAATAAATCTTATTATTTTTTTGATTAATAAGTGATTTTAAATTGATTCTTATTATTTCTATATATAATGATTTCTAATTGATTCTTGTTATTTCTATATATTGTGATTGGATTGGAAGTACCTTCTAAATAACGATATCATTCTTTAAATGAATCCACAATTATAAGAAATTCTTTATTATAAATCTTATAATTAATCTTAGCTATTAAAAAAAATTGATTTAAAAGCTATTAAGAGTAGTTTGTTATCTTTTTTAATTTATAATAATATTACATCCAAAGAAAAATTTGATACATATGTTTTTATAAAGAATGGCTTAAAAAAGTTGACATGTTATAAGATTGGTGCAAAAATAAAAGATTTCTTCAAAGCTTCAAATATTAATTTTATTTTATGATTCTACTTAAGTTTGTCTTTATAAGCTAAATATATAAATAAATTTTTAATTTGAAAAAAGTTCTTGATGGATATCTGGTAATAATTGATAAGTTTTTAAAAAAATTGAATGTGTCTTATTATTTTTGGGATCTTCTAATCTATGATGGTTTGAATTTTCTTAGGATCTATCATAAGTACATCATTTAAAATAATGTATTCTTAGAAGTCAACTTAAGTAGTGTAAAATACATAATTTTTTAACTTGTTGTAAAGTCATATATCTCTTAATTTTTGTAATACATGACAAATATGAAGTTCATATTCTTCTGTGTTTTTAAAATAGATTTAAATATTACCTAGATAATATACAATAAAATTATCTAAAAACTCTCAAAAAATATCATTCATTAAAGGTTGAAAAATTATTGGGAGATTTATGAGTCTAAAAAGTATAACATTGTATTTAAAATGTCCATATTTTGTTCAAAATATAGTCTTCTGTTTATCACCTTCTTTGATGCATACCAAATTGTATGCTCCTCAAAGATCTATTTTCGTATAGAACTTTGTATGATTTAATTGATTAAAAAGTCTAAATATCAAAAATAAAGGATATCTATTTTTGATGGTGATCTTGTTGAGTTGTCAATAATCTACACACATCCACAATGATCAATATTTTTTCTTCACAAATAAGATTAGAACTCCTACTAAAAATTTAGAATCATATATGAAATTTTTAGCCAGGTTTTCTTTAATATACTCTTTAAATGCAGCTAATTCATTTTGTGATAAATTATAAATTGATCCAAATAATAGTTGAATTCTTTCTTGAAGGTTAATTGAACAGTCATAAAGATGATATTTTAGAAGAATATCTACATTTTTTTTCTCAAAAATATCTTAATAATCTTGATATTGGCTTGAAATGCCATATGAAGTCTTTTTAAGATTAGAAATAAGTGTGGCATAAATAATACAAGATGAAATTTCTTTTATAATATACAAAAAACTTTTACACCTACAAATATAAGTTTGTTTTAAACTCATGATTTTTTATTTAATTATTAATACTCTTAGTTATGTTTTTAAAAAATTTAAGTCCAATCTATTTAAAGATTAAATTTTTTTGACCATGATTGATTTAAAATGATTAGATTAGAGGAAGATTTAATAATATTAAATATTATTAAATTATTATGACCTTTAGTTGCTACTTCTATAAGAAAGATTTTATGAATAACATCTTTAAAAGACAACAAATGACCATCTATGATTTCTACTTAAACATGTTTAGTTTTCTTCACTAAAGATATTATATATCTTATATCAAATTTTTCATCTAAAAAAAAAGCTAAGGCTTTTGAATCTATTAAGATAGAGACATTTTAATATTTAGGTCCCAATTTAACATCTATTTTAAAACAACGAGAGGATTTTGAAGAGAATCACGGACACAGAACTAAAGAAGGTTTGAAAAGATTCTAAGAGGTTCTAGAAGATTTTAAGAAGGTTCTTCTAGATCTTAGAAGGTTTCAAAAGGTTTTACTAGGTTCTAAGAAGGTTCTAAAAGGTTCCAATAGATTCTAAGAAAGTTCTAGAAGGTCATAGGAAATCTTTGAAGGTTCTAAAAGGCATGAAATGATTTAAGAAGTTGCCAAAGAAGGATCTTAAGCTTGCTTTGTTCTCAAGCCTTATAGAAACTTTTCAAGAAGCTTCTTAAGACCTAATATATATATATATATATATATATATATATATATATATATGTAGGAGTTGAGGCTGATGGAATCTTCAGTCTTGACAACTCACTTCTTGTGGTCTAGCCATGACTTTCTTGCCTTGTATCTAGTTATTTTTCTAATGTCAAATTAACTCCATTTGAAGCATTTTTGGTAACATTTGTGGAAGCATTTGGTAAACATGAAAAGGTTCATTCTTCAATAACTAAAATTCAAAGCCTTTGACAAGGAATGCATTTTGCATCCATGTATGCCTCAGTTTTTTGATAATTAGCATGTGATATAAATTGGAGAAAAGATGCATTGAAGAGCCAATTTCACTAGAAATTAAGAGACAATATCAAGGACTTATTGTTGTCTATGCTAGATCCTCAAATACTCAATAAAGTCATTAGTCAAGATATGAAGTGTAATAACCATTTATTTCAACAACAGTAAGATAAACATTCTTCAGTTATGTCACATGTATACATCAATTATTTTGTAGCTTCTTCACAGTCCAATTCTAATGAATATTTAGAAGCATAAGATATGCAAATTGATGTAGTTTGCTTCAAATTTCTTTCTAAGTAGAAAAAAAGTGTTAAAGGGAACTTGGCATATACTTATATTGTAAAAAACTTGGCCACAAGGTGAATAATTTTTCAAAGAAATGTAAGCATATTTATTGAATGAAGAGTGTGGCCACATCATCAAAAGCTTTGCAGGAAAACGATAGTGCAACTGGATTCTTCACTATCACAAATCAAGAAAGATCATGTACACTTTGCTAGCCCTTCCCCTTGTTTTACTATACATGTACAGTTAGGAGTCACAAAACTAGAAAGTCATACATTACTTGATTCACAAGCTAGTGCATGTTTTATTGACAAAGAATTTTTTAGATCACACAAAATCTATACAATCAAAAAACTCAAAGCTGTACATATAGAAGTAATAGATGGTCGACCTTTATCCTCTGGAGACATCACTCATAAAACAATTCTATTAGAAATAACCTTTGACAACTATAGCAACCAAGTAGTATTCAATGTCATTAGATCACCATCAATTTTAGCCATTTTAGAACTCTTATGGCTTAAAAAATACAATGCATGGATAGATTGGATATCCCAAAAATCAAAATTTCTTCTAGTAGATTATAGAACCTCTAAATCTATGAAAA